TTCAGCAAACGCTTGGTTCAGAATGATGAGGCCCTGAATGTGTTTCACAAACGTCGAGTAAGAGGTGGAAGGACCTGGGATCATGCACTAGTGGTATGCTATAAATGTCACAAGTTCGGACATTTTAGAAATAAATGTCCAGATTGTATCGACGAGACTATTTTTCAAGTGTACCAGCAAGGTCTTGCAACAGGAATCTTGGGGATAAGACGGAAGCCATGTTATTGATGGCTATTGTAGACAAAGAAGAACAAAAAGGGAATATGATCCATCGTAAACAGCAAGAGTGGTTCTTAGACACAGTCAAGGAGGTTGAAGAGAAATCTCAGGTTTTATTGGAAACACTGAAGTCTCTTGAACCAGCGACCACAACTCAGAAACTAGCAGCAGATGTGCCAGCTGTAGAAGGAGAGGAAAATAATGTATCTAACATAGAGAAAGAGAGCTGTGAACTTAAGCACAATTCTCTTGAACCAGAGTTCAAAGTTAATGAATCAGCAATAATGGTACCAGCTGCAGAAGGAGGGGAAGATAAGATATATAAGATGAAGAAAACACGTTGTGAACATGAGCAAAAATCCAAGGTACCGAGTAACAGAATTGACAGGTACTTCTGGCAAACTGGATCTTTCGAATGTCCCTATGAACATACAGTATTTGTTGAAAAAGTGAATGATTTGATTACGGTTAGCTTGTATGTGAATGGTATGATGTATGCAAGTAGTGCTGGAATTTTGATTGAGGGTTGCAAAACTGTCATGCAAGTTATGTTTGAGGTGAACATTCTAGGCAGCTACTTACAACTTCCTTCCATATCAACAACTGGCATTGATCAGGAAGAGGATTTTGAAGTTTATGAGGATTTGGGTCCTAAAATAAAAAGGAAGTTTGGTACATGGATATATGTGAGAATCATCTGTTTGCATATGTTTATAATCCTCCAAGTTGTGCAGAGGTAGTGAAATTGCAACCACAAATCCTTGTGGCTGCAAGGGAGGAAAAGAAACATACAGATTGTTGGGTGGTTCCAAGTCATCTACAACAAGTTTGGCTCCATATCTCCTAGAGTTGAGCTTTCATTGGTTGAAGACCAAGTGGATGCAACTAAGTATGTTAATGTACTTATTGCAGCAAGTTCCGTCATCTGTGTAGCTGATTTTGCAACTGGTTTGTTAGCTGACTTTGCAGCTAGTTTAATCAGTTTCAAAGCTGGTTTTACAGCAGGTGATATGGGTAACAGAAGAAGCATGAATGATTGTGTATTCCAAAAAGTAAGAAGAGTTGTATCCGGGGTTTACAGGAAACTGCCAGTGGGTGATTGGATCATAGCTGAGGCAAAATTAGTAGCCACTGCCTATTATGAATCATATCGCATATGGCTCAGAATGTTTCTAGAGAAAATGGGTTGGCAAGACAATTTGATCAAAGGAAACGAGACCATGTGTGACGTCTACTCAATCGCTAAGCTATCATTCGATGAACATGGAATTCTGGTGATTTAAGCAACATGGATGTTGTCTATGCAAAGCAACCACAAGATTTTGTGTACAGACTGAGGAAAGCTTTGAATGGTTTGAAGCTAGTTGAAAGGGCATTGAACAATAAGATTAAGAATGGTCAGAGGTTGATTGAAATGAGTGAACTTGAGATAATGAGATACTTTCTGGTAGTTAATGCAACTCGGTGTAAGCATCGAGCTCGTAGTTTGTTGTACATCACTGTCACAAAACTTGATGCTGGTTTTGGGGAGGAAAAGGAACAACCAGCAGTGACTTGGGGTACCACAAAAGCAAGTATAACAACAATAGCTCATTGTTTGCACAACACCATATGGTTGATCAAGTTTCTCGAACAAATAGTTTGGAAAAGAAGTGTGGGTGGAGGCACCATAACATGTTGTGACAGGTTTTGTGGAGTTGCTTTGTCAAAAGAAAAAAAGGGAATTGGTTCTTTAATACAAGATCATGAAGTTGAATATGGTCATGCTGCACTGGGGGGGTTTTGGAAGGAAATGAAGGACAAGATCAAAGTGGCTAAGAGTCTAAATCGTAATGAGTGTGTGTTGGGGTTATTGATGGTTGTTTGCTTTACTAGAAGCAGAACTGAGGTACTACTGCACATACCAGAGAGATAGATGATTCAAGGCCTAGACTTAATTTGACATCTTATGATGAATGGGTTTCCCAGTTGGTTAAAGTTGAGAAGATTCATAAAGAGGTCCTTGAGATTCTGCTATTGCTTCTAAGATACTACTTGTTAGACGTGTATTTTTCGGTTTTCATGGGCCAATTGTATGTTGAGTTATGTGGTTAATTAGAGGCCCATGATTGGTGGCAGCCCATGCACTAATGCACTTGTTGTACGTGCATGTGCTAGGGTTAATGAGAGGTATTTAAGCTTATTGTATGGCTGTGGGGAGACTTACGAAAACCTAATACGAATTCAGCTTGGAGAGTTGATCTCTCCCGTGGATTAGTCCTGGAACACCCAGGGATACCACGTTAAATCTGTGTGTCAGTTCCTGTGAGTTTGAATTCATTCATTTGCGTACATCAACATGGTATCAGAGCACTCGGCATTAGATTCAGAGAGACTGTCAATCCGCCTCAATCCGAAGAACTATATGCTATGGGAGTTTCAGTTTAGGGTATTTGTGGAAGGGAAAGGACTCCTCGGAATCCTGGATGGAACTGTTGTGAAGCCGACACCTCCGGCTACGGATGAGCAGATCCTACGTTGGAATCAACTTGATGCTAGGGTAAGATCAATGATTTTGAATTCGGTAGAACCTAATAAATGTTTGGGGCTTCGTTTGCATAGTACAGCTCATGCAATGTGGAGGAAACTAGCGGCAACCTACTCCACGGCAAGTGCGGCTCGCCAATTTGAGTTGCAATGTGCTCTTGACAAGCTAGAGCAAGGAGATCGGGACGTGACATCATATTTGACAGAGGCACAGGAGTTGTGGACCGAGCAGGACCTGCTTACGACCCATCTCCGTCTAGCGGCAACATCCGAGATCGTGATAGAGGAAAGGCAACACGCTCGCATGATGCATTTCCTTATGCGATTGCGTCCGGAGTTCGAGCCCATCCGCTCAAGTATTATTCATCGGGGAGCTCTGTCGATGGATGGCGTGCTCGGTGATTTGGTTCGTGAAGAAACCCGCCTCGGTGATGGAGAATCAGCGCTAGCAGCGGCCGCGGGCCATGATGATGTCTTTGTCACGGGACATCATCATGGGTACCCAAGCTAAATTGGATCTCCGCCCCGGTGATGGAGAATCAGCGCTAGCAGCGGCCGCGGGCCATGATGATGTCTTTGCCGTGGGCCGACCACAATTTCAGCGATGCGTACCCATGTCGGAGCTGCAATGTCATCATTGCCGTGAGAAAGGGCACCTCCAGAAGTATTGCCGCCGTCGAAATTATTGTGTGTACTGCAAGAAGGGTGGCCACATCATTCTGGATTGTCGGTTGTTTGTTAAACACCATGGGAAACCGGCTGAAGCTACTGATCGTGCACCTGAACGGGCCACTGCAGATCGCCCTACATATGCTGCTCGACCTGCTTATGCTGCTCAACCAGTCGATGGGAGTGGAACCGGGGTTTCGGCAGCTTTGATTGAACAAATGGTTAATTCGGCATTGCAAAAGTCTCTTCCTACAGCCATTAGTTCAGCCTTTGCCACTCTTCGGGTGACAGGTAAACAATCACAGCCTTGGATTATTGATTCGGCTTGCTTCAATCATATGACTAGTGACCGGTCGCACATTAAACATATTACTCCTGTTCGTCCTATGTCGTTGCGTGTGGCTAATGGTGATTGCTTGGAAGTTGGGGGTATGGGACACGTTAAGCATTCTAAACTTGATTTACAGGATACTTTACATGTTCCACGTCTTGTTCCTAATTTGGTCTCAGTCGGGCAACTTACTGATCACGGTTGTACGGTTACGTTTGCACCCTCTGGATGTGTTGTGCAGGAACTGAAGACGGGGAGGCAGATCGGAAGGGGGAGTAAGCAGGGGCGGCTGTTTCATCTGGATGAGCTTACCAGTCCAACATCATCATCATCACTGTCACCCGTCAGTCATTCACATCTTCGTAGCGTTGTCAGTAGTCAACCTGTTTTGTCTTCTGTCTTGTGTCCTAACACTTCTGTTAGTGAGTCGGAAACTGTATGGGATTTGTGGCATTCTCGTCTGGGGCATCCCAATTTGAGTAGACTTTCGCAAATGTTTCGTCAATCTTTGTTGGGAAAACAGAGTGTCAAACCTTTGTCTAAACATAATTGCACCAGCTGTGTTGAAGCCAAAACAACTACCATTTCTTTTCCCTCTAGTTCAACAATGATTAATGATCCTTTTCACATTATTCACTCTGATCTCTGGGAACCATCTCCTAACCTTTCCCGACATGGTTATCGTTACTTTGCTTTGTTTATAGATCATGCCACGAGATTCACTTGGGTTTACTTCTTACGTTTGAAATCTGACCTTCGTGCTATTACTGAAGAGTTTTTAAAAATGGTGCGCCCGCAATTTGATCGTCCTGTGAAAATTCTCCGTTCTGATCCAGGTGGAGAATTTAGTTCAACACCCTTACTGCAACTCTATCGATCTCTAGGTACACTTTGTCAAAAATCTTGTCCTGGAGTATCTCAGCCAAACGGTCTAGTGGAACGAAAGAACCGGCATGTTCTTGAACTTACCCGAGCTCTGCTCTTCGAGTCTCACGTTCCACATCAGTTTTGGCCTGAAGCCGTAGCTACGGCTGTCCGTCTCATCAATTTTCAGATTACCCCTGTCCTTCATCATGTCAGCCCATTTTTTGCTCTCTATAATCGTCATCCCGATTATTCTCGTCTCCGGGTATTTGGGTGCCTGTGCTTTGTTCTCATGCCCCGTCGTGAACGTACTAAACTTACTCCTAAGACAACTAGGTGTGTGTTCTTAGGTTATAGCGACATTCATAAAGGGTATGTTTGTTATGATCCCGGTCTTCGTCGTGTTAGGATTGCCGCTACAGTGGTGTTCTTTGAGAAATTTAAATTCTATTCCTTTGAAAAATCAGCTCCCATGTTTCCCTCTGCGTCGTCGTTTTTACCTAGGTTCCATGATGATGATGTTGATGACGTTGGTACCTTGGATCCGCCCCCTGATGATCCTCCCACTCCCCTGCCGCATTTGCCTCCCACACCCGCAAGCTCGCATCATGATTCTTCGCCAAGCACTACGAGCTCTTCGGTGGACAGTTCATCTCCAACATCACCATCTTCGAGTTCTTCCACCTCGACCCACCATAGTGATCATGGGGCAGCTCCTACGTCCCCTCCACATGATGCACAGCAGCTCGGCCCACGCCGTTCCACTCGAGCTAATCGTGGTCAGCCCCCGCCGCGACTTAATGATTATGTGACTTATGGGGTCGATGCTTTCGTAGTCCCGACTCGGTATAAACAGGCTAAAGGCGATCCACTATGGGATGCAGCTATGCAGACTGAGATTGACGCCGTTCATGCAAATAAAACGTGGACCGTGGTTGATCGTCCCCCTCCGGAGGTCCCTGTCATTGGTTCTCGTTGGTTGTATGCAATTAAGATGACACCGGAGGGCACGATTGAGCGCCATAAGGCGCGGATTGTGGCGCAAGGTTTCTCCCAAGAACAAGGTGTTGCTTTCGACGAGAAATTTGCCCCTGTTGCTAAAATGGCCACTGTCCGTACTCTCTTGGCTGTAGCATCGATGCGACAATGGCCGTTATTCCAGCTGGACGTGAAGAACGCCTTTTTACATGGGAACTTGAAAGAGGTTGTGTATTTGGAGAAGCCTCTGGGATACAACGTCGGTTTACCAGGACAGGTTTTTCTACTTCACAAGTCTCTCTACGGGCTCAAACAGGCACCTTGGGCCTGGTTTGAGAAGTTTCAATCCACTGTTCTACAGCTCGGGTTGCATCAGAGTTTGAATGACCCGTCCTTGTTTGTGAAGTCCTCGTCGGCTGGGTATGTTGTTCTTCTCTTGTACGTCGATGATATGGTGGTAACTGGGGATGATATCGAGGGTATTGATCATCTCAAGAAGGGTTTGCAGAGTGCTTTTCACTTGAAGGATTTAGGTGAACTTTCTTACTTTCTCGGCCTCGAGATCACTCGTGATCGTCATGGAATTATGCTTAGTCAACGTAAATACATTGGCGACTTATTGAGTGAGCATCATTTTGAAGACTGTCTACCGGTAAGCATCCCGATGGAGCTTAATTTGAAGTTGAGTCGTGAGTCTGGTGATCTACTTTCCGATGCCACATCCTATCGTAGCCTGGTCGACAGTCTTATATACTTGGCAGCTACGAGACCAGACATCTCCTACCCGGTGCAGCTCATTAGCCATTTTATGGCTGCCCCGCGTCGTGATCATCTCGCAGCTGCTCACAGGATTTTGCGTTACCTTCGGGGCACACAGGATGTCAGTATGTTTTTCCCTTCTACGGGATCTCCTGTTCTTCGTGCATTTTCCGATCCTGACTTTGCAGGTTGTATAGACACTCGTCGATCCACTACGGGTTGGTGTGTTCAGTTCGGTGAGGCATTTGTGTCTTGGCGATGTAAAAAGCAAGACAAAGTCTCCAATTCTTCGACCGAGGCGGAGTATCGCCCCCTGTCCGATGTATGTTCTGAGGTAATATGGATTCGACGCTTGCTAGGTGATTTTGGTGTGACATGCACGATTCCGCTGGAGTTGTTCGTGACTTGGTGCGTGAGGGCACTATTCGGCTTCACTATGTTCGTACCGAAGACCAGATTGCTGACATCTTCACCAAGCCGTTTACGTCTAGTCGTCATTGGTATCTCTCAAGCAAATTGATGCTTCGTTCCCGGCATCAATTTGGGGGAGGCTGTTAGACGTGTATTTTTCGGTTTTCATGGGCCAATTGTATGTTGAGTTATGTGGTTAATTAGAGGCCCATGATTGGTGGCAGCCCATGCACTAATGCACTTGTTGTACGTGCATGTGCTAGGGTTAATGAGAGGTATTTAAGCTTATTGTATGGCTGTGGGGAGACTTACGAAAACCTAATACGAATTCAGCTTGGAGAGTTGATCTCTCCCGTGGATTAGTCCTGGAACACCCAGGGATACCACGTTAAATTTGTGTGTCAGTTCCTGTGAGTTTGAATTCATTCATTTGCGTACATCAACACTACTGTTCTCTGGTGATGTTGCTGCAGAATATGTTACAACGGAGTAAATTAAAGGCTGTTGTTTCAACTTGTTTAATGTTGCTGCAGAAAATGTTTTTTTGTATAAATAAACTGAAGGCTTGCATCTGCTTCAGTTTAGGGGAGGATATGTTCGATAAGTGAGTCACGTGAGCAAGCACGAGCTAAGTCCAAGTAGTTAAGTGATTAGCTTGCAGACTCTTGTGTTTACTGGGTCTGAGTTTGTTAACTAGTATAGCTATATTTGTGGGGTGAGGGTTAGTGGTAAACATAGAGATTCCGAGAGTGATGGGAGTGGGCAGTAAGTGCTCTGTATATATACTTCGAATTAGTGTTGAATAAAGGTTGTCAGTTTGCAGCTATTTGGTTTCTACCGCCTGCTGCTGCATCAGCAGCCTACAGGCCATCAAGCGCCTGTCACTTTGACTTTGAGTGGCGGCACCCAGATATTAGTAAGGAAGTAAAATGGGAAATACGCATCACTGCAGTAGTCTGCAGTTCCCCTCTGGTAACTGATCAGTGTAAGGTTTTAATGGTTGTATTTTGTTTTTTCAATAGCGCTAAAACTAAGTGCACTGTCACTCTGTCAGCTACTGTGAATTAATGATTGTGCTGACAGATTTATAAGTATATATCGTAGTCACAGAGTGGGGAACATGAGCTTCTTTGATATATCTCTCATGGTTAATGCCAACAATGATTCCTCCAAATGTATCAATTGGGCAAATGCGTCCATAGTGATAAGGATGGATATCTCGTATTCGAAAATTGACAGTTTGTCCTGTCAATTTATCCGGACCCAAATAACTCAATTTTCTCCCATGAACTATTTGGGTCAATGGATTAGTTCGATCCAAAAACTTGAGATAATGGGTGCAATTCGAAAAAGGATTCAAAAGTGGTTGTTAATGAAGTTGAAGATACCAAATATCTCAATATCATATTTGTTTAGAAGAGAAACAAAAATTGTGTTTTGATTATGGTATTACAGAATGGCAATTACTTACATACGTTCGTATCGCCGCAAAAGTTAAAGGGTCAACCAGTCAGAGTTCTTAATCGTAAGAGAGTTGAAGATGTAAATGAAGTGGTTAGGTACCATACATAAATCTAACCCAACAAATTCGAGTTATTGGAACCGATTGGTTTATGTTATGGTATCAAAGCGGGTTGTCTTTGATTTTTGAGGTCATATGTTCAAGTTTTCACGACCTTCCAATATTAATTATTGTCTTTAAAACACATGGTATGATGAATATATGCAAACTTTAAATCCATAAATTTCCTGTGGTTTAAGTAATATACATAAACCCAACAACTCAAAGCATAGTAGCATACCGGCCATGTAGTGATTATTCGAATATAATTTTATGCTTCCTGAGAGAGAGCCGGGCCCAAGATCAATAGCGTAGAGCTTGTGAATTGAACCGCTGTGGGCTAGAGATCCATTCACGAACTTCAGCCTGTAGTGACCATGACTATTGGGCCCATATATCACTGAGATTTACTATTGCTAATTGCATTGAGTTAAGGCGAACACGATCATTTCAAGCACCACAAATACATTTTAACTAGTAGGTCGATTAAGATTCGTTATTGCACACCTTAAACAAAAACTAAAATTTATTTGAGCAAATTTGTTTTAACCCGGACTAAAAGTGGTGTCTACATATAATATTATTACTTTTATAATTATTTTATGAACTTATGCATTTTTTATTATAAAAAATTTGCTGAGAAATTTTTTTAGGTTCATAGTTTAAATTTTCGAACAGGAACCTCCAAATATGATAGGTCGGCCCTGCATATGATATACATATTTTATAATCCACAAGATATGATATTAACTGAGATTGATGTTACATCCTATGTTAATTAACTACATGTAGTTTCGTCTCTATGAAGCGTATAAGGGGGGTACTCGTGATATTTTTAAAAAGGGTTATACGTATAATATGCCCATCTACTGTGACGTTTTATCAAACATGCCCCTCCATTATTTTTTACATCAAACATGCACTTGTACTTTGACAAAATTGTCAAACATGCCCTTCTGCTAAAATTTTCATTGAAAAAAAACGTCAATCAAGGTTGAATAGAGGTTTAGACGTCCCGACATCGGCAAATGGGAGGGAAAATATAAGTTTGTCCCCCGTTTTATTTCCAAGGGTCTCTTCAAAGGGAAATTATTTGAATTATTTGGCTATACAAAGAAACAAAAAAATTCAAAAGTGAAATTATTAGGGATATTTTAGACATTTGTGCTGCCCAAACCAAAGTTCGGCGTTGGTTAATGGTTTTTGGATGAAAATTTTAACAGAAGTGCATGTTTGATAATTCTTACAAAGTACAAGGGCATGCTTGATATAAAAAATACTAAAGGGACATGTTTGATAAAACATAATAGTAAAGGGGCATATTATACTTATAACCCTTTAAAAAAAAGATAAGAAATTATTAGAGTGATGGTGGATGTGGTCTTCCAGTTTTATTGTTGATCTACCGTCTGAAGGTGTCAGGATCAAATTCCTTAAAAAACATGCAAGACAAGTGTCCTCAAGCACAATAAACCTGAATTGAAGTTGAGGTTATTGTTTTAAATCCACGGACTCAAATGTTTGCTGGTCGAGATCGATCTTTCCGTGGATTTTACGCAATTTTTTTGTAATTATATTGCGCACATTTATTAATGTAGATGATAATTGTATTTCTGTAAGCATTTGTGTTGTAAGTTACATAATCTTTTTCATCATATAGAAACTTGATGATTGTTTCTTTTTCCAAATTTCTTTAAGAAAATGGTTTGGTGACACTTAAAGAGTCACATCAACTCATTCACCGCATTTTCAGTTATTCACGTCATATTAGTATTTAGGGTTAATAGCATTTTGTACCCTTCTATTATGGTAAATTAACAAACATGCCCCTGTACTAAATTTTTGCACAAACATACTCTCCTAATATTAAAACGTAATGAGTGTATCCTTCCGTCTAATTTTCTGTTAAATGACAGTTAAAAGGGCTGAGAAATGACCAAATTGCCCCTCAATTATTCCTAATTCAATTTTAATTATTTTATTAAATCAATTAACTTCATAAAATCAAACCCTAAACTAATTCAAAATCACTGTCCGTCTCACCGCTGGCGATCGACTCGGTTGCGGCGCCTGCTTCTCGCCGAACCTGCCTCTCGTCGACGGTCACCGGAGCTCCAACGTCCGACCACAACTACGGCATGTCCTTGGTTCTTAAATCAAGAAGACTAATATAGCAATTGTCAGAATAGCTATCTATAAGAGTTCTTTTCATCCAACCAATGGAGTTGATTGGCGTGACCTAGAGACCATCAGGGGAATTCGTAGAAGAAATCAACATGCCTCCCGATGAAATGATCCCATACGCCAATTCCGTCCGTACTCTTTGATTTTGTTTTTACAACCGCTGAAGGTTCGGTGGTTGGGATTTTGCGATATGGCGAGCGCTCCGGCAATAAAGCTCTTGACTTGATTGTCGTGGGTGACTTGGAATTTGAATCGGAGTTGGTCAGAGGTTTTTTTGAAAAGAACTAGTCTGCCGTCACCGCGGCCGAGTCGTTTGGAGGCGGAGACGTCGGATCTCCGGTGGCCGTCGACGAGAGGCAGGTAGAGCGAGGAGCCGGCGCCGCCGCCTCTGAGTCGATCGCCATGGGTGACATAGGGACACGAAGCGATTCTGAATTAGCATAGGGTTTAATTTTTTTAATTAATTGATTAAAGGAGATAAATAATAAAATAATTAAAATTGAAATTAGGAGTGAAGGGCAATTTGGTCATTTTCCAGCTTTTTTAACGGCCACTTAACAGAAATTTAGATGGAAGGATAAACTCGTTACGTTTAATATAAGAAGGGTATTTTTGTACAAAAATTTAATAGAGGGGTATGTTTGTTAATTTACTATAATAGAAGGGTACAAAATGCTATTAACCCTAGTATTTATTCATGTAATAGTGATGATTATTCTCACAAATAGTAATGCTTCACTAGGCTATTGGGGCCATTTTTGTGGGAACAGATCAGATCAGTAACTTTATGGTGAGTAACCATGAGTAACTCTTCCAAATCAGCATGACATCAGCATATCTCTCTATTGGAAAGCATTTTATCTTTTCCCTTTAATCTTTAAAGGACGATTTCTCTATTGTTTTAAGTCGAAATTTAAATTTTTTTTGCACAGATAAATCAGGTTAGATGTGCTTTTTAAAATGATGTCCACTTTGATATATTTTTAGTACAAAAAAATTGAGTCATTTTTTACCAGTCATTGCCATATGGTATGCTCCTATTTAATACCACATGGTAAGAAAGCGTACCATGATGGTATGAACATATCAATATGGTAAGAAGGTTGTGTTTATGCCACGTAACCCGAAACTCTCCGATGACCGATGCGCCTTCCTTCTTGGAACTCGCTCCGACCTCCCACCTCGTTCCTGCACACGAAGGCGCACACCGAACCCCTTGATTGGGGCTCGTTAGCACTCCGACGCTTAAGTTAGAACAGTGTTTCTAGAGAGAGAATTGAAGTATAATTTTTAGAGAGAAGTTCCAATCTGAGTCAATGAGCTTCACCCACTTCACTATTTATACCCAGGGTAGGGTCGACCAATGCCCCCCAAATCCGCCCCACGTCATCATCTCATTTAATGCATTGTACTTTACCTCTGTCATGCGCCCCGACATTCTGACATCTGGCCTTATCACCGAGGCGCATGACCCCACCTCCTCTTCCCTCCGTACGCTCCCGGCCGTTGTCATTTTTGTCGTTATGCGCCTTACATCATGCTCGGACCCACCGCCTAGGTTACAAACTCAGGCCCCTTTTGGGCTGGGCTTTCCCCTTGTTAGGCTCACATCCTAGGCCCATCTCAACTCTCTGGGCTCCTCTCTTAGGCACCTGTATGCCCCTAACAATTGCCCCCCAGTTAGGCGCCTACCATCTGGTGGGGGTCTAACTACCCAAGCGTTCCGAGAAGCGCCTTCAGGCCCTACTGCGTGCCCCCCTTTCCACCTCTCTCTCCGGAGGCGTGCGTTTTCTTCCCCACTACCCCCGTTCGTGCTCTGGCTCTCTCCCCTTCTGCTGATCTACGCGTCGCGCCCCACACGCGCGTTAGTACTCCTCCCGTTACTTGTCTCCTCCCTCTTTTTATTTATTGCGAGTGGACCTTTGGGCTTCCGCCTCGATCCTCGGCCCATTCTCCCCTCCCCCTAGGCTGAAACGGATTCAAATTGCGGAATTTGAATTCGCCTCAGCCTAGGCGACCATTCGCCTCCCTTGCTTCGCTCTCTCTCCCCCACTTTTCTCGCCTATAAATTGCCCCCCACTACCTCCTCCTTCCACATTCTGTCGAATTCACTCTCTCTCTACTTCCTCTCTCTACCTTGTTCTGCTCTGCTCTCAAGTGCTTTTCTCAGCCTTTCGGCCATCTCTCTCGGCCATTCCCTCGGCCACCGCTGCTAGGCGCCTTCTTCTGCTGTGAGATTGCATCCCCCACCACCTACGCGCCCTTCATCATGGCCTCCAACAACCAGCCCGGGTCCCCAAATGCCGCGCCTTCTGGCGCCCCAGTCGCTGCCTCGGGTACTTACACGCCTTGCAACAATACTTTTTTAATTATACGCCTTGTGTTTTGTGCGCCAGGCTTCGCGAGGCTTGTCGGAAAAATAACCACTCACCCCCTCCAAACCATTCTCGTCTCCTGAGTGCTCCCCGCCTCTTTACTTGGGCGCCTCCTTTTTTCACAGCCTTCCCCCTTGAGTGCCTTTCTTGACCTCCTCCTCTTCTTCTGACTTAGGCACCGCCGCACCTCGAGAGTACGGGATAAGCCAATGGGGCAACATGTGGCCTCCTGGGTACATGCCCTCTAACATTGACCAGATGTCCGAGGAAGACGCAGGGCACCCACACGTGTCCAAGATTTTGTATTCTCGCTTTACGAAGTTAATCCGGGAGGCATAGATGCCCGCCGACTGGCGCTACGCACACCCGTCTCCTATTGCGCGCGTGGGGGTGTGTGGAAAGGGTTGGATCGGCGTGTACCAAGAGTACGCCCGCTTCGGGATCCGCTTCCCGATTGAACCCATTCTTGAAGGCGTGCTGCACGTGTGCCAGTGTTCCCTCGGGCGCCTTTCTCCTGTCAACATACTGTACACGGTACTCTTCCGCCTCAAGTGCCGTCAACACGACATCCTTCCTTCCTTCAAACTCTTTCGCCATTTCTTCACTATGGCAAATGCCCCAACTGCTTCAGCCTGCAAAGGTGCCCAAAATTGGAGTACAACTTCATAAGTCACGGTAAGAAAATGAGGCGCTCGTGGTTCGAGTCCTTCTTCTTCGTCCGCCCGCGCGACACTGACTTCTTCGAGAGCGACGCCGCGCCCCTTACCCTGTGGACTTTTGGGAATGAGTGCGAATTCAATAAACACCCCACCCTCAACAAGGCGGAGGAAGAAATGGCGCGGCCCCTTGCGTGCGTGCCAATAAACCTTCAAATAAACGACGATGACGAGTATGCTCGTCACTTAGAGTTCTACAACGATAGTAGTTTCTTGTGCCTAATGCATACGCTTTCTCTCTCTTTATGCGCCTGGCTGATACCGTACTCGATTTTTTTGCAGGTACTGTCTTCACCAACGTTTCTGACCTCATCCGCTCGAAGCTCCACCTGATCCCTCCCGCGCCTCGCGCACGCAGCAAGACCAGCAAGGGGCCGCCTCATCCCAGCCTCCTCAGAAGAAACTGGTGCGCGTGAGGATTATCTCCAATCCTGTGGCGCCGGTGAACCGCGCTCCTTCCCCTGCTGCAACCGAAGCGCCTTAGGCGTCTTACAACTCCCCCATCGATCTTGACAATGAGCCGGGCGCCTCCCCATCTCACCATAGTCAAGGCGCCTCTCTCTCGCCTCGCAGCCAGGGCGCCACATCCCAGACTCCTACCCGCGCCTCCCATTCCAATGCATCGGAAAAAAGTCCTGCTGAGCCGCTTCTCTCGGCTGCGAAGAAGGCAAAGCTAGACCGAGTGATAGCCTCGGGCGTGCCAGCCAACTTGGTTATGCCAAGCGTGGGGGAACATACTGGGAAAACCTTGCCCCCTATTTTCAGCTTCCCTCCCGACCATTGGAGAAGGTTGATGTAGGCGTGCCTGTCAAGGCGGCGAAAGACCCGAGCGCCGCAATGCAGATTGTGCTTTCTCACGCCGCCGTGATTGAGCGCCCCGATCACCTCAACTCCAACCGGCCCCTCCATTCCATGGCCAACCTCTCCGTTCATGTAAGGCGCCCTTCCCTTTGGTTTTGTAAGTTTAACACCAAGTATTTTTTCCGAGTCTAACTTTGTTACATTGCGCATGTGCCAAATGATGATGCTGATAGAATCCACCGCACGTGAATTCGATCGGATGGCCAAGGAGAGCTTGGCTTCCAATGGCGCCGTGGAGCACCTTCGGGATGAGCAGGTGGCCTCCCGGGAGGCGCATGAGAAGCTGACCCAAGCCCGGGACGAGGCGCAGAAAGAGGCCCAGGCTTGGGCGGCCAAACTCTCCACTGACATTGAGGCGGAGCGTGAGAAGATCAAGGCGACTGTTGAGAAGGCATGCCAGGAGCGCTATGAAGCGCAGGCCGCCGCCACGCAAGCTGAGATGGCTGAAGTGGAGAGAGGTTTGCGCTAAAGGCAGGCGGTGCTGATGGACGAGCGTGACAAATATCACGCGGAGGCGGAGCGGCTCCGGGGAGAGGCGCGCCGGTTCTCGGAGGAGCTGAAGATGGAAACCATGGCCAAAGAGCATAACAAGAAGGATCTGAGGGCGGCTGAGGCTGAGGTGAAGCGCCTCAGGAAGGACTTTGCTGAATACAACAAGTCGGAGGTAGGGAAGAACCTCCTGGCGGACACCGTGATTGACACGGTGAAGATCCTTCATGAGAAATTCAGCAAGGATCATCCTGAGGTGGAGTGGGACTCCATGGCCTTGATCATGCATATCCTCAACTTCATGGATAGCGGCCGCAAGGCTAGTGAGTTGGAGCCCATTGCGGGGCTGGAAGTCCCTTCGCCAGCGGCCGAAGGAGAAGAGGCGGATGAGGAGGAAGAAGAAGGCGCGGAAGATGATGAAGGCGTAGAGGGTGAGGAGGAAGAAGGCAAAGGTCAGGTGGATGGAGAGAGGGGCCTCCCCGAGCCACAGGGGACGCCCGAGGGTGCGGTGCAAAGTGAGGAAGAGTGACGGAGCGCCCTCACTACTTGTCTACCAGTTACTTGTATTTTTCAATTCCCTTAACTTTTGATGTAACTTGTGAACTTTCGATCTAATGAAGTTTCAATATTTCCGAACTGTGTGATGTTGCTTTCTTCATATGTCTCTTTGTGTGGGCGCGGGAATGTAAGGCGCTTTACTTGTTCGATTTCCAGGCGTAGGGCGCTTACACAACCGCATGTTGATGTTCCTTGCTTCCCCGAAATTAGGCGGAGACTTCGACTTCAATCAAGTTATTACTAAGGGCGCGTCTGGGAGGGCGCATTGTGCGCCGGTACTTAGGCACGGATAAAACAATTCCCTATAGGGCGCAAAAAGTAGGGCGCTTCACGAAGCCAACCATGGGTTGCATAGTGTGGGGCGCTTTGTAAAAACTGCTGACGCGATCTCAAGGCGCAAAATTGGGGCTCTTTAACACAAATGTTATCATATTAAGGCGCAAAAGTAGGGCGCTTTAACACTAATGTTGCCATAATATGAAGGAGCCAAAGTAGGGCACTTTGCAGTACATGTTGTCATAATCCTATGGCGCAAAAAGAGGGCGCTTTAACACGAATGTTACGTTTCTTACAGCGCGTGGGGTGGCACGCTTGCAGTAATAGTAATTCCCCTTACACCTACCCAACCTACTCTCGTATACAGGCCAAAAGACACGCGCCACTCCTTGTGCCCCAGGCATGTTACTCGGAGCTCTCACCTGCCTCCGTCACGTGGTACACCTTGAGGTTCTACGCGTTCCACGTTCGTTTGACGGCCTTCCCTCCAACGCGCTCCAACTTGAATGTGGCCGTTTGCTATCACCTCTCGGACGTGATATGACCCCTTCCACTTGGGAGTGAGCTTTCCCTCACACTGCTTTGGTCGGAAGTCGCTTCGTAACACTAGGCTTCCCAGGCGTATCTTATGGGGACGCATCTTACGATTATAGTACTTGGCCACCTGTTGTTTCAAGGCTTCGAGGCGCACAGAGGCAATGTATCTGCGCTCCTCGAGCATGTCGAGGTCGTGGACTCGCTCTCTCTCATTGGCCGATTCCTCATATCCCGTCACCCGATACGTGGGAAAACGCATTTCCACCGGAATGACCGCCTCGCTGCCATAAGCTAATGCAAACGGCGTTTTCCCTGTCACCACCTTGTGTGTTGTCCTATGCGCCCAAAGCACACCGTGAAGCTCTTCAACCCATCTCCCCTTGGCCTCAAGCAACCTCGTATGAAGTCCATGTCAGATGCTCTTGTTAGCCGCCTCTGCCTGCCCATTGGCTTGGGGGTAGGCCACCGAGGGGAAGCGCAAGATAACGTCATTCTCATCACAGAACTCGATGAATTGGCGGCAATCGAACTGTTTACCATGGTCAGCTACGATCAATTCGGGCAGCCTGAACCGAGAGAAGATGTTCCTGTTCGTAAACTTCCTGACTTGAGCCTGGGTGATGGTTGCCAAGGACTCTGCCTCCACCCACTTGGAGAAGTAATCCACTGCCACAATGAGGTATTTCATTTGACCTGGCGCCTTAGGGAAAGTCCCTAGTAAATCCATCCCCCATTGTGAGAATGGCCATGCGCCCACATTGCCCTACATCGGTGCTTGCGGGACGTGTACGTCATGGGCATGAACCTGACATTGATGGCAGCTTTCCACGTGCTTCTTGGCGTCTCGCCTGATGTAGGGTCAGTAGTAAACTTGACGCAACAACACCTTCTCGAGACTCCTCACCCCAACGTGCATGTCGCAGGCGCCTTGGTGTACCTCCGCTATCGCCCTTTCGCCCTCTGCTTCCGTGAGACACTTCAGGTAGGCCCCCGAGTGTGACCTCTTGTACATCTGGCCCTCTAAAATCGCGCAACGTGCGGCCTTGTGCCTCACCTGCCATGCCTGCCTCGCATCCTCGGGGACCGTTCCATGCATCAAATATGCCTTCAACGGGGTCATCCATCCCTCCTCCTCACTGCCTTGCTCTCCGATCACCCCCACCAGTGACTCTTTTGAGGAGTGCTCCTTTGTGATGATTACGTGCTTTTCCTTCTCAAAATCGGTAGTTGTGGCCAACTTGGACAGAGCGTCCGCATGGGCATTTTCTTTCCGTGGGACGTGCATGAATTCTACATGTTCCAACCAGGAACGCATCCCCTCGATCTTTCTCAGGTTTGCGCCCAACGCCTCCTCCTTTACATCAAACACCTCGTTTAGCTGGTTTATTACCAAGGTTGAGTCAGAGCGGACTTGAATCCTTCGTGCCCCCAACTCTCGTGCCGCATGCAAGCCTGCTATCACAGCCTCGTACTCCGCTGCGTTGTTTGTTTTTAACGACGAGAACCGGAGCTCCAACTCGTGCATAGCGCCCATGGGACTGACGACCACTATCCCTGCCCCCGCTCCGAATCGACTTGCCGCCCCATCAACGTAAACCTGCCAACTATCGTTCATTCCTTCACCCTTGTTCACCACACCTTCCGCTGCGAAATCAGCCAATACCTGTGCCTTGATCGCCGGACGGGGCGCATACTTGATGTCATATTCGCTTAACTGCACTGCCCATTTTACCATGCGCCCCGCCACATCCATGGACCCCAGCGTGCTCTTCAATGGAAGGTTTGTGAGCACGACTATAGTATGCGCCTGGAAATACGGGCGTAGCTTCTCTGCCGCGGCAACCGCAGCTAAGGCTGCCTTCTCTATAGGGGCGTACCGCGTCTCGGGACCCGTCATCACTTTGCTTACGTAATACATGGGGCGCTCTTCTACATCTGCCGCCGCTCTCGAGATTAACACCCCACTGACTGCCGTGCGCGAAACTGCAATGTATAGGTATAGCACTTCTCACACCCGAGGTGTCGTCATGACAGTGGGCAACACCAAGAGGCTCTTCAACTTCTCAAATGCCTCATCGCACTCCTCCGTCCATCTGAAGCGAGCGGCTCACTTCAGGACTTGGAAGAAAGGGGCGTCCTTGTCGGAGGATCGTGGGATGAACTGCCCTAGTGCCGCCAGGCGCCCGTTTAAACTATGCACTTCCTTTGTCGTTCTCGGGGGCTCGAGGCACCTAATTGCCTCCACTTGCTTTGGGTTGGCTTCAATCCCCCTTTTTTTTTATCATGAAGCCTAAAAACTTACCAGCCTTCGCGCCGAAAACGCGCTTGAGTGGGTTAAGGCGCAGGGAATAGGCACGCATCGTCTCGAAAGTTTCGCGCAGGTCTCTCAGGTGGCCCTCTCTTTTCTTACTCTTGACTACTAGATCATCCACATACGCCTCCACGTTCCTCCCGATCTGCCCTTGGAACACAGTGTTCACCATCCGCTGTTAGGTTGCCCCCGCATTCTTCAACCCGAAAGACATGACTTTGTATCGGAAGTTGCCGAAGGGGGTCATGAACGCCGTTTTCTCCTGGTCCTCCTCGCACATGAGTATCTGATGGTAGCTAGAAAACATGTCCAAGAAGCTCAACGCCTCGTGGTAGGCGATGGCATCCACTAGCTGATCGATGCGAGGCATCGGATACGCGTCCGACGGACACACCCGATTCAGGCTTGTGTAATCGTCGCACATCCTCCATTCGCCTAACGTCTTGGGAACCAGCACAACGTTGGATAACCAAGTCGTATACTTAGCCTCTTCCACGAACCCGGCCTCGAGTAACTTCCCTACTTCCTTGCGTAGCACCTCCTCCTTCTCCTCTGACAATGGCCTTCACTTCTGCTGAACCGGGCGCACGCACTTCTCTACCGACAAGCGATACACCGCCACCTCCGGACTCACTCCTGGCATCTCCCGAGCGCTTCACGCAAATAGATCCGCGAATTCCTTCAACAACTCCACTAACAACTCGGCTGCTTCACCGCTCGTATGGGCAGAGATGCGCACACATCGCTCGGGGCGCCCGTCCTCCAGAGGCACTTGGATCTCAGCATCCGCCGCTTCCGCCCTGGGCAAATCCGCGGGCCGCACATCTATGTTGTACATCCGCATCCTTTTGGAGAGACGGGCTTCCTGCGACGCTTCACCCCTTGACACTCCGACCCCCTTTGGAGTGACAAATTTCAGAACCTGATGACACGACGACGCCACCCCATTGAAAAGAGCTAAAAGGGGGCGCCCCAGGATCGCATTGTAGTTGGAAGGACAATCTACAATGCCGAAGTCCATGGTATGCGTAACCCTGTGCTCCTCCTACCCTCGCGTTACGGTAGGCTCACGCGTCCAATGACTCCCGCCGGGACTCCTGAAAATCCAACCAAGACCGTGTCGGCTGGCCTCACGATACTAGGTGACAGCTGCATCTTCTCAAAAGTGGACCGGAACAACACATCCATCGAGCTTCCCGTGTCCACCAGCATCATTTTCACTTCACACCCGACCACCAGTCCTCTGATCTCCAAAGCTTCCACAGACGGGACACGACACGCCTCCTCGGGTGCCTCGTTGAAGAGGATCCACACGGCGGCGCGCGTGCTGGCGGTGGCTGATTTCAGCCGCCTTCCCTCCAATTTCTGCCTCAGGTCAATCGTGCCGGAGATAGCCTCGATGGTTAGCCTCACCCGGGCGGGGTTAGTCTCGGGCTCGACCGCAAAGGGGGGAGGTGGCAACTCGCCGCCTCCCATGGGTGCTTTATTCTCCCCGTGTGCGATTCCGTCTTCGCGGACGCTCTCTAGAGGCGTCGCCGCCTTCTCCTCCTAAGCCATGAAGGTTCGCTGCGACTTATCCTCTCCTTTCTTCACAAATTCATTCAACATCCCCCTATCCACTAGCCCCTGGATTTCGGACTTGAGTTGGTAGCAGTCGGCCGTGTGATGCTTCCTTTCGCGGTGGAACTCACAGAACCTGTCAAAGTTCTACTCATTGGGACGCCCCCTCATGGGGCCTGGCCAGCGGAGGTGGTAGCCTTTTTCGCTTGAATACTACAAGACGTTCTTCAGGGAGTCGTTGAGCTCGGTGAAGTTTGCCGCACTCCGAGGCGGGAAGTGCTGCGGCT